GAAGTGAGAAGAAGCACAAACTGTAATAAACGGTGTAAACACTTTACTAACCTTTTACTCATTTGTTGTTCGTGGGTCAAACTAACTGAGGAGAAAATCAAACACAACTACGACTGTTCATTCAGAAACTTCTGACTCAACAAAGTGACTCACTAGAAAAAACTTGATTTCAACTCTGCACTCAAACTACAGTAGAATAATGACCCCCCCCCACCTCCCCTCACACATGGTTGCTCCCGATGACATCACGGTGATGTCACCATAAATACAGGAAGTGTTGGGCCCCTTCCTCCTATACCTGCTGCAGCACATGGTCAGAAAGGTGAGTAACAAACATTTTAAACTAATGAGAAGTAAACTTTGTATATAATGATCAGTTCAGTCGTTGTTGTAAACGTGTGTGTGTGTTTCTAAAGTTGTGTTGACGCTCCGCAGCTACTACACAATTATTACCGGTCACTTCTCCTCAAACACAGTTTTAATATTCTCGTTTGAAGGATTTACTTTCCTGGAGTCTGTTAAACAGTCGACACAAGTTTTCTGTCTGTGGTTTTATCCTGGTTCAGTTTGAGATTCTAGAGTTTTATGGTTTTATTTCATTGTATATTTGCTGCTTCAGCTTCGTTTGAGATTCTAGAGATTTATGTTTTATTCCACTGCTGGTTACCTCAGTTGTTTTCCCTCTCATGAACCTCAGGTTTTTAGAAAGACCATGAATCTTCTGAATCTTGAAACACAACAGAACAACAACTGAGGCTCATTGCGGCTGAAGAGTGAAATTAGTTTTCAGATGATTTTTGAGAGGCAGAATTTGATGATGTGGGTTTTTATAACACGATCTCTGGACGGATGATGTCACTGTTTGGACACAGGTGGGGACACAGGTGGGGACGCAGGTGGGGACGCAGGTGGGGACAGAGAAATGTTCTGTGATTTAGCTTCTTATTTAGCATCGTAGCAACAAAACAAACGTTGTGCTTTTATTTTGATATCAACAATGAATATCAAATGAAAATAAACTTCCAATGACCACTGAGAACGTACATGATGTATATTTATATATATTTATTTACTTCTATACTATTAATACTCGTCTCTGCAGCAGTTTTCAATAGTTTAACTCTCTATTTTTTACAACTTGAAAATCCTTTGACTTCCTGTTGGTTCACGCAGCTTCTGCTCGACACTCGTGTGACGACACATCTGATGTTGTTTAAGTTCACAAGTCGTGTGCAGATCAAATACACAAATATAACACAACAGCCTGCGGAGCTTAAAGTGTGTTAAAGTGTATGCACTCACA